TACATAAATACATATCTACATACGCATATAAATATATGTATATATACATATATATTTATATACATGTACACACATATATAATTTTTTTTTTGTACATTCTACAAAGAAATTACAGTTTTAAGCTAGCTACAAACGCTGACAGCTTTTGTTGGGAGTCTGCGCCAGATCATTTCTTTATTTCAATTTTTGGGTGGACAAAACGACTTTATTGTTGTTAATAAATATGTTGCACTCATATTCCAATAAAAACCATTTGGAATCAGTTTCAACAATCACTTTTGATAAAGTGAAGGACTTGGCAAAAAAAAAAAAGGAAACGAAAATAAACAAAAAAAAATAAAATAAACGAAAATGAAACAAATTTCCAAAACCTGGTCGCTGTTTTGCTTAATGCCCAACTGTGTTCTGCGTATCTAAGCGTGATTCCTTTGTATTTCTTGAGTTAGTACGCAAAAGTTGTTATTTTGCTTTGCAGTTTGTATTGCTAGCGATGCGTATATGGTAAGTCTAATCGTCATTAGTATACGTCTTATCATTTATAGCTTGTTACCCAACATCGGTCGCGTTTCTAAACCTTCTACTCAACATATCCATAATTCATGTTCATGTTGCTAAATATCTATTTATATATGTATATATATATATATTTCTGTATATATATATTTATATAGCTTAAACTGTTTAACTTATATATCAACTTTTATAGCACGCGTTCTTGAAATCTTGATTCAACGCGACTCTCTTTCTCTCACTTTCTATATATGTATTTATATGTATGTGTGCTTTGAAATGAATCAGAAGAATAGAAGTATGTATATATGTAGACGCTCGCTGCATTAATGTGGTTTGTGTGTGTTAGTGTGTGTTTGTTTATGTATGTGTGTAATTGTGATTGTTTGTTTAAACGATTTCTGATTTCTTTTTCTGTTTCTGGTTTTTTGTTTCGAATTTTGTTTTTAATTTCCTTTTTCTTCTTTTTTTTTTTTTCTTTTGTTATGTTGTTTGTAACGCTCTCTCCCTGGCATCTGTTTCAGCCTCCCACTACTTTTCTTGATTTGATATCATTTGTAGTTTACCTTCGGGATAAACAGCCGCCGCAACTCCACCGGCTGCAGTGGTTGGCGGCGTGCGCATGAAGTACTCCTTGTTAACGCAATTCCTCAGCACTTCTGGAATATTGCCGACAATCGCTCGTCGTATTTCGGTGGCTGCCATTTCGCGCAGCTCTGTTGCGGATGCATCGCTGAAGAAGGCGGCGTGTGGTGTACAAATTAGATTTGGAGCGTCTTTCAGTGCGCCCTGTAAGTCAATGCGAAATGAATTTCAATTAGCATAAAACATATCAAGCACAACTGCGGGCATCGTCTCAGATTGCGTAAAATGTTTCGTTTTACAACAATCTCTTACTTGAAATACATTGTATGGTTCGTTCTCGTGCACATCCAGTGCGGCTGCTCTTATCCGACCCTGTTTCAGTGCCAGCGCCAATGTCTCATCATCCACCAGACCGCCTCGGGCGGTGTTCACCAGAAATGCACCGGGTCGCATCTATATTAATTATAATTCAAATTAGTCACCTAATTGTTTGCTTATGCATTCGAATGTTGTCACGTTTGCATACCTGTTTAATTGTGAATTCATTGATTAAATGGTGATTGTGCTCGTTGAGCGTGCAATGCAGTGAAACGCAGTCGGACTGGAATAACAGATCTTGCAGCGTATAGACGCGTGTGAGGCCGAGAGATTTATCAATGCCATCGGGTAGGTAGGGGTCGTAGAATATTACATTGAAGCCAAATGCTTTTGCTCTCAACGCGACAGCGCTGCCAATGCGACCCAAACCAACTAAGCCTAAGGTATCGCCACGTATGCGAGCGCAGCCCTGCAGAATAGATTACAGAAATATTATAAATATCTATCTATTATACCATATATAAAATATATAGAAGAGATCCCATGTTCTATACGTACATGCGCCGCTTCTCGCACTTGCTCGGGGCCTGTAAACTTTTTGCCCTCGCGCACCATATTCGCCAGCCAATAGGTGCGCCTGTATAGGTTCAATATCAAGCACATTGTTGTGTCTGCCACTTCCTCGACACCATAGCCAGGGACATTGCATACGGCGATACCCAATTCGCCAGCGGCTTTGACATCAATATTATCTGTGCCGCTGCCGATGCGCACAATGATGCGTAAAGCTTTGAATTTCTCAAGATCCTCCTTGGTCAAGATGATGGTGTGCCACATTAAGGCGCCAACTGCTTCATTTAGCACCTGCAAAGCAACAAGATATTAATTATAATAATCATGTATAAACTATATGTATGCTACTCACCTTCTCGTGTATTTCGGATGTGCTCTGTGCATCGCAGAAGGCCACCGTAGCCACATCCTTTAGTATGGGCATCTCAATTGAACAGTCGCGTCCATCCAGCAGCGCAACCAGCGGTCGCGCCTGCAGCGGACCGTTGGCGAAGCTGCCTTTGACATCAATGCGCGAACGCTTCGGCATCATAAGATTTTTGTCCATAATTTATTTTGTTTTATTTTATATATATATATATTATGATATTCGCATCGCTGTGTGTGCTTTGATATTTGTTTATTGCTCGCTTGCTTCATACAAATACACGCCTATCGATCGTTTGATATCTGCAACGGCAACAACAACCTACGCACACTCACATACACGCACACACACACGCACACGCACATATCACAGTGTGCTATCGTATCAGCCAGTGCTGCCACAAGTAGGCGTGGCTCTGCCCATACAAGACACCGATGCTGCCACATTGTTGCCCGCAACGTTGCTGTCACCGCAACAACAGCAATTGCAGCAACAGCAGCAGCAGCAGCAGCTACAGCAGCAACATCAACAAAAGCCCGCCGCAGCCGAGAACAACAATGAGCTGGCCACGCCCCCGCCCATAACGCGAAACAGCACGTTGCATGCCACAGTACCGAAATCGCCGCCGCGCTGGCCATTGCGGCCAGGTGTCATGTTGCACGTGAGCAGCGACACCAAAGAGAATCTAGCCGTGAATCGCATGACACTGAAACCGAATCCGAATCCGAATCCGAGCTCGCTGCCAAATGCCTCTGCGAATGCGAGTCAATTGTCGGCCCAGCTGAGTGCCGTGCTGAACGATAGCCAAACTAACTCAAATAGCACAATGCTAACCGAGGTGACGGTGTCGGTGATGGAGCCACCAGCAACAGCAGCAGCAACAGCAGCAGCAACAACATCTATTGTACAGCCTAGTCAGATGAAGACTAATTCCACTGACATTGCCTTGCCATCAACAGATGCAGCTGAGCCGCATCCAGNTATATATATATTTCTTCCCTTAACGTTTACTTCTAGCTTTATGGATCAGTGTTGTGTGTGTGTGTGTTGAATTTGCAATTGTTTCTTCGTTGCGTGTAGCAGTTGCTTTAATTTCAATCAACGGAAACAAAACCTTTTTCAAGACGACGATTCACACATTGCAATCATTTTTGGCGCTTCATATTGAAATCGAGAATCCTGCAAGTACACAATAAATAAGCGAGACACCATTAAAACATATATAGATACACACACACATGTATATAAATATATAAATAATACAACTTGCAAATTAAATGGAAAAACATGAAATCTGATGTCAAAAGTAGAAACAACAAATCGCTTACGAATTGCTAACAAATCGCGCCAGTGTCAGCACAATATTCACCGATGACAAGTTTTCGTTTGGATTTCGCAATTGTCAGCGATAAAGATACTATTTGTTTGCACACCCTGCCTGCCTGCCGCCTCACCGCACCCCCCTCCTCCACTTCCAAAACACACTCCAAACAGTCGTCGAATAGGCAGGAGGAGGAGGAGGAGCAAGAACATAGAAATATAACGCTTCGGCCTGGCCTGGGTCAGCGTCGTGTGTTGTTTCATATATTTATGTTATGTATTGCTATCTTTCATTGTTGTTGTTGTTGCAACAGCAGCTGCTATCGTCACATTAACAACAAATCTAGATTTAGTATACCTCATGGCATTGCCCCCTCGTTCCATAGGTTCCTAGAATTTCAAATGCGCTTATCAAAATCGCTTGCTTTGATTAGACGGACAACAAGCAACAGCAACAGCGACAGCAACAGCTACATCTATTCAGGTATTTCTCTATTGTGTTTGATTTTTGGATTAGTTGACGTATTTTTTTTTGCCCGTATCTTATCAACAGCAATAGAACAGAAATGAATAACGTCGTTGTATCTGTGGCACAGTTCGAGCGCTCGTGATAAGCAAAGACTCTGTCTGATCGAGTTTTCAAGTTGAGAATATATTTAATATACTTCTTCAAGGTCGCATTAATTGTAGGCAATATATGTTTCAGTGATTTGGGTGTGAAAAAAGTATAAAATTAAATTAAAATAACTAAAGTTAAAAACCCGAGCATAGGGGCTTAAATGTTATCTTTAGTGAAAAAAAAATTAAATCGAAAAAATTCCCCCTGTTCTTGCATACTGAAGAAATCAATTTAGAATATATAAATAGGGAAATAAAATATTTGCGTTTGATTTTTGTTATGCCTTAAACAAGTTTCTATTCTAAAAATTCTATAAGATGTTTACAATTTATTATACACTTGCAGAAATGAATAAAAATTTATAAACAGTTCTCCTAAACTCAATCATGAACTAAAGAGAAGTTCATTGATTTTGTATTTGTTTTGCTTATCGGCATAATTCAAGTACTTCCATGTTTATTTAACCTAACTAAATACTTGAGGAAGCTTTCGTGTCTAAGTTTTTTTTGGATATGACTAACCAAAATAAACGTGAATTTTTTTATTAAATCAGAAACACCTATCTGTATCGTTTACTGCATCATTCTTATACCAGAATTTATATTTCATCATAATGGTTATCTCAAAAATTCTAAATAAAACAAAATTATTGCAATTAAGAATTGGCTGAGACGATTATGAGGCACACACACAGACACACGACGATTCATATCTCGCATACATAAACAATATTTATTTACAAAAATAAAAATAAAAATTGATAAGCCATCAAGTGTAGATGCATGTGTGTGTCGGAATTAACAGAACAGACAGATGGGTCGGCTGTCATAACCACATCACATCATGAAGACACATCATAGACTCGTAGACTTCGGAACTAAACAGCATACAGTAGTCGCACGATAAGTGCAACTTTGAAAACTAAATATTAGTTTAGCACACAATTGGTATTTCTTTGCGTTAAGGAATTATAAAGTATGTGTCCAATATATGTATTTGGCCTTTGTTCGCTGTACATTGTCCATACGACCACAATGATAACCATAATCATATTAATAGCCATGTCAGCAATAGAAATGAACAAAATAAAGTATAAACGAATTGCACAGATGCCCAGATAATGGCAACAAATGTCTAGCCGACAATTATGACATAAATACATATATATAAGTATATATTATATATGATATATGCAGTATTTGTAGCATTCATGCAGAGCTCTCGCCATGCTTTGTTTATTTTTAAAACAATTTTCAAGACATTTCTGATTGCTACTTAAGATTGCGCATGCTATTTATTTCACTTTTGTGAATGATTACGTTGAAATATATTTATATATATATTTGGTCGATCGCAATTTGTGTGGCAACAGTTGAGCCGCGAAGAGTGAACAGTGAAAGGAAGCCACAGACCGAGAGTCACAACAGATTTGAAAGCGCGCCAAAAACCAGTTCTGCAAGTGAACCAAAAAAACTAGTGGCAACAACTTCTGTGCTGCTTCTGCTGCCGCCGCCGCCGCTGCTGCTGCTGCTGGTGCCGCTGATACAGGATGCAGCAACGTGTTCCATGCGCCCACGCAGTTGAGAAAGTCGAATGAAAAATATTAAAAAAAAAATAAATAAAAAACCTGTTGATGTGTGTATGTATACACACTCACTCATATGTACACACAGATGCACGCATTATCACACACACAACAGTAAATCATATACGATTATACATAAATCACAGATGAGTGTACAGTAATATCTAACAGATACATTTCACTGCTCAACTATTCATCTCCTTCTTCTTCTTCATTTTGTTGTTGTTGTTGTTATAGTTATTGTCGCTACCTGAGCTGAGCAGTCGCAACAGTCGCCGGCTGTCTAACAACAGCAAAAAGTCAAACTAAGAACACACGAGCACAAACTGCGATGGCGAATGGCATTTTGTATCTCATTCTTTCTTTCTTTCTTTCTGTCTATCTTTTTTAGGTAAACCAAGCCAAGCCAGCAGTAAACCGGTTTATCAACCCGACAGACGCACGATAACACCAGCAACAATATTAATGTGTGTATGTATTTGTTGATACCCTGGAACCATTAATAATAGACAAAAGCGAGGGGCGTATTTATATCAGCAATTAGCATTATTCAGCACATAAATATTTTATGTCACAAATAAATTTGCAAAGGAAATTAATATATATATTAATAATATTAAAACCAAGTAATCAAATATTCACGAAATCTAAGCATAAGTAAATATTCTATTTAAAGTGTTCTAGTGAAGGGTATTTCTAGCTGAGTGCGCAATATAAAACAATTTATGCCCGATGACACTTCAGCTCATTCTAATTTGTATCTATCGATATTGATTTGTTGCAATCGATTACTATTAAAATCAAATTAATCAAATATTAACGAAATGTGGACAAACTTTATTTATTACAGGGTGTTTTCTAGTTGAGGGCGATGGACTAAAGCACTCTTGTTTTTCTCTTTCTTTTTGCCACAATTTTTCAGGCAGGAAAAACTCATGTTGGCTTAAATTGTTTGTTGGCTTAATGCCACAATAACGAAAACGAAGCAATGGCTCGAGCCGACAAGTCCCAGCGAGTCGAGTCGCGAGTGTGAGTGTATGTTTGGAACACGTTTAAATATACATATTTACAAGTCATGCGCACACTCCACAGACACACACACACATACTCACACACAACAGCCAAACACATGTATTTATGTACGTGTTTGTGTGAGTCTTGGGGCAGGCAAAAAGTTTTTAAAGTGCTCAATGCTGATGACGCCATTGCAACAGTCAACAGTCATACGCCGAACAGGAGAGAGCGAGAGAGCAAACGAGCCGGGGAAGGAAGAAAGAGCATGAGTTTGAGTGTGGGTTGTCTGTGTGCGAGGGAGAGAGAGAGGAAAGCCCAACTTGTGTGTGTGCTTTCCGCTTGAGTTGGGGGTCATCTGAAGTGGGGGAGCTGCAAAACAGACACACAAATTACAAGTTGATGCACTTTATAGACTTTACTGTCTACTTCGGAATTGCAATCAATAATAAAACCAAATTGAATTAAAGGAACATTTAAATAACAGTAGGAATATTGGTAGACTAGAAGGTTCTGAAATATTCATTCATGCCAAAATGTATAATACATTTTACTTTAGCCAAGCTGTACTGTACTTAATTACTGGAGTTTGCCAGCAGCAGAGTGTGACAGCAAGTTGATTTTTTCTTTCTTTTTTATTTGCTTATTTATTTATAAATATTCGCTCTCTCGCCTGCTCGTTCGCAACTTGTTTTGTCTTTGAATTAACGGTTACTTCGTGACGTCGCATTTCGCGCGCTTTTTTTCTTCCGTCTGTTCTGCTCATGCATTAGCATTAAAGCCGGCAAAGCCAAAGCTGCTGTCGATCCGTTTTAAGCAAAGCTTTTTGTTCTCTCTTCGTTATGAATAAATGCTTTTCTTTTGTCGTGTCTTTTCTATCTTTCTTTCTTTCCTCTGTGTGAGTGCCTGGGTAAAAAACGGTTCTATGTGTTTAGATTGAATGACGCAAATCGAATATATAAAAGAAAAAAAGAAAAAACTGCAAGCATTGCAAGTCATTTTGGTCGGAAACAAAAACAAAAAGTAAAAATCAAAACAATTTATATTGGCTCGCACGCTTTTTGCCATTTGCGGACAGCTGCTGCTGCTGCTGCTGTTGCTGCTAAAAACCATTTGGCACAACAATTAAATTGTGTATTGCGTTGATTTATGTTTTTCTTTTTTATTTAGACCAAAAGCGCGTCAGTAAATTTGGCTGCAGATCGATCGATGATACAAAGCAGCCATTGGGGCAGCACAAGCAAACCTTCCTCCTCTCTCGCATGTCACCCCATTGGAATATAGATGTACAGTGATGCCTTCCTAATTAAAACAGTATATCAAAATTACTGTATTTTGTTCAAATTTATTATGGTGTCTTGAGACTATACTGTATATCTCCCGTGGGTGAATCTCACTAAATACTAAGTTGTACATTATTTATTATTAGTTTAGTTGTCAAAAACTACGTTGAGCAAACGAATTTTGCTAGCGAAAAAACTATGCAAATACTGAACAGATGTATTTTATAATTCATTATAGTTCATTTAACATCTATATTTATTTTTAAATTTATTTGAAACATTGTTGATTTATTTTGTTGCTTTTGAACATCTGCTTTCGTAATTGTTTTGTTCCCGTTCAAGAGTATTTACTGTATTTATTTTTAAACTTGTTTCATAGGAATTGAAAAATTGTACGGACTGCGTTCTATTTTGGTGATTTTTGTTTTGCAATTTTCAAAGTGTGAAATTCTTGTCGCAGGTGTCTAGTCTTGTTTTTTCTTTTCTTTTGTTCTTTGACTTATTTTAAATGTTGGCACTCGGCAACAAACAAAAGGTAAAGCACAATAAACATGAACAAATGATAAGCGTACGTTAGCAGCAATGCACGGAAAAGTGGAAAAGAGAGAAGAGGTGCTATAAAAGGTAACAACTGCATGCACATTGATAGCAGATATCTTTATACATATACATGTATATATACACACACATCCACACTAAACATTTATTGTGCCTCACTTGAGTGAACTGAAGGAAAATTTTCAAGTGGAATTTTCATGTTCAAAACTCATAGACAACACATATAAACGTATATATATGTATGTATATATGATGTCTGTATATACACATACGATATAAAAACAAAGCTAATTCGAGTTTGTCTTGCCCGCCCATCCCGAAAACAAAGATCGTTATATGGAGAAAGAGAAAATTCATAACAATGCAAATATGCGAAATAGACTAAAATTGGATGGAGGCGGTGCCAAAAAAAAAGCAAAAAAAAAAAAAAATGATTACACAGCGCAGACGGGCGAGCACAAGTGTTGTGACGCTGTGTGTGTGTGTTTGTGTTGCTGGCGGGTACAGCAGGGGCGCCAGAACGAAACAGCGATGGAAAACATGACAAGCGAAAAAAATGTTGTAATAAAACTAGAAACAAGCGCCAATTTCATTGGCCTGCAAGGGTATGGCTGAAGGGGGGCCATAGAAGGGAGACACAGCAAGTTGTTTGTATGTGTGTGTGTGTGAGTAAAATATTTATGGACATCGACAGCAGCAACGGTTTTATAAACTCTTTTTTTACGTGCGCGCATTTGTAGCTACTTATTTATTTATGTATGCATAAATTGCAAAACAAAAACAATGTACATTCATACACACATACCAACGGGACTGGCATCGATACCCCCACCAACCTTCCACTACTCAAACTATGCATGTTTTTCTGCTTCTTCCTTTTTTTCAATCAATATGCAGGCGGTGGCGGCGTTGCAGGCCACTGGGCAAGAAGTCAGTCACAATAGCGGTGGCTATTTATAGAACAAAACGGGCTGACCGGACACAAAGGGGGAACCGAAACAAAACTAAACTTTAATGCGCACTCGTATTCGGAGAACAGCAGGAAGCTTTAACTGCGAGTTTAAAGTGTTCAAAGCTCCGCTCTCGTTCACACATTTATTTTGCACGAACTTTTCAAGTAAAACGAAAATTTGATACACTTTCACCCTTTAAAGGACTCACAAACTCAACTCAACTCTTTGTGCAAACAAACGCGGCGTTGCTGCAAAACAGCAACCGAAATAATGCTGTTGAAATATGTCATTCGCTTGCTATAGGAGCTGGCCTCTGGCGCTCTCTCTTTCTCTCGTTTGTTTGCTCACTCGAACGAAATTGTGGCGGCGGCGGCAAAATAACAACGATGAGACAGAGCAGCGGCTTTAGCCAGCATGTTGCAGTAGTGTGGGGCGGAGTAGTTGAAAGGTACAGGGGCGTTGCGCAGTGAACCTTGCGTGTATATTGTCACTCGGCATCGGCAAAAGGCAACAAACACACACACACACACACATTTGTATGCTTGTATTGATAATGTATGTGTACCTTATGTGTATATTTGTGCAAATATTATTGCACAATAAATTTATGTTTTGCGTATTGGCAATAATAAAAATAATTATTGCTATCATTCGCTTTCTCGCATATAGACACTGGCTTACTCAGCAGCGATACTATAAATATATGTATACGCACACACTCAACCATGCACACATACAAGCGCGCATGTAAATCGGCTTTAAAAATTCATACGAAATTCTGCACGTTTAAATTTTTTTCTTGTACACGTTTATCGCGCACGCACACGCAAACATACATATATACACGCACACATATACACATGTATATACTAAGTGAGAGACACGAGCATACACACGCTGGTCGAAAACAACAAGAAGAAGCAATACATTTATCCATATTAGAGATTAAGAGACGATGTATAGCTCGCACAAAATATGTATAGATACATAATATTTTTTTGTTATTAAATTCGCAGCAACAGCAAGAGCGCACTAGTTTTTCAATTTCTATATATTTTTCATTTCGTTTTTCCTCATTGTGGCGGCGGCGACGGCGACGGTGGCGGTCGCAACTCGCGTTTTTTTTTTCTTTTTTTTTGCGATTTTGTAATTGCACAAAATTCACGTGCTAAACACTTTCCCACACGCACAATTGATAGAGAATCATTTACCGGCTAGCTTAGTGCACAATTTACATGCATTTTTAACAAATTCTGTGTACTTTTTATATATTTTTCAACAAATTTTTTACCAGCAACGCGTCCAAATTCCACTTTCGACTCGCAGCTTTCAAAATGGCGGAATACGAATACGGCAATTTTTAGTTTTAGTACAGCAATGACGCGATGCTACTCACTGCCGCGATGCTACTCATTTGCCGCGTATTGCTAATGATGTATGTAATTGTATATGAGCAATCAATAGGCGATCTAATTTCACACACCTGACAAATAATTACGTACTCTTTACTGAACGATTCAGCTCGAATTGCACTATTAACAACACAATTTTTCTTTTTCATCCACTTGCACAAAAAATATTCTCTTTTATGCTTCTTCTTTGCGCGAAAGTACCATTCTCATGTTTACGCTCCCACGCACACTCAGATGCAAACGCAATACCAAATGAATATAAAATATACTCTTGCATATATATTTATTTCTAAAATGCACATAGCCCCTTACACTCACATTAATTAGATAAACAATATTGTATGCGGCAATATTAAAAATAAAAATATTTAAGTAAACCCGACAAACACGCAACGCTCGATGCGAGTTGCGCTGTTTTTGGACGATACTGTCCCGGGTATCGATAACGATATATACATAATTACTTTGTTTCGATGCCGAAAGAATGCACATTGCATTTGTATTCGTATTCGTGTTCCGTCATTTTTACATAAAAAGAGGAAGAGGCACAAAGACAAGTGCGGGCGTGAAAACCAAGTTCATTTGGCATATCTAAAAGTTCTTAAAGGCAATTTTACGCACATAGCAACATAATCGACATGTCCGTCAGGAGAGCAACGCACGCAGGAAGCTGGTACACAGATTCCGGTAACGTTACTTTGATTATTTTTGTGTTCGTTATTGATGTCTTTGACCCTTGTGTTGGTACAACATATTGAGATAATGAAAAATTCGGAGAATCATAGAGAACTGAAGATACTTTTTTTTTTTAAATTATATAAAAGGTGTAGTTTCATTCGATGTAATTATTTTAATGGAGTTTGCAGAATATAAAGGCAGTACGTTGACAACTATGTATTTTACTAATATATGTAATTTTATCATGAAGATGACGTCAATAGATAAGATATATGGGGAATTTGTGGTAGACATCCCAGTATATATGGGATATTAATCAGAATGGATTTTTAAGCAGCTCAAACCATATGTATATTTTTTCAGTGAAGAACATACAAGATTAAAATCAATGATTAAAATACGCACGATTAAGCTTAGAAATTAGTTTCTGGCTTATCACCTACTGAATTACGTATTTCTTCCATGCGATCGTATGCAATCTCAGTGGCCCAACATAAACGCTGCTCCAGCTCGTTGGTGCGCTGACGCTGCTGCTTCAGTTTGTCCAGGCCGTGCTCCAGCTGGGTGCATGCTTGGAAGAAGTTGCTCAATTCAGGTATATCACCAAACTCCCCGGGATGCTGGCGAAAATCTTCGCCAACATTTTTGGTCAGCTTGTCCAGCCGATTCTGCAGAAAGCTGGACTCGAACATTTTCTGTAGCTCGCTGGTTGTTACCTTTCCCAGATCGTTGGCCATATTGTTCATACGTAAGTCGCGTATGCGAGACTTCAGTGAACCAAAATTTATGGACTCAAACTTCTCACCAATGCCCTGAAACAATTGATAGCTCTGTCCCAATTCCAGCTGCATCTTCTGCATATCCTCATCAATACTCTTGGTACTCTTCGACTCCAGAAACTCTGCTGATAAACTGTCCTCCAAACTGGCCAGCCTATTCCTCAACGAGCTGGCACTAGATGTACCCATTATGGGCGAAGACGACGATGACGACAATGACTCTTCGCTAGCTTGTGCCTGGCCAGCAGTCAAGCGTTCGACTGATGGCTTCATGGTAATCGTTTTACCGCCAACTGACGAGCGATGTGACTGCGGATTGTGATATATTTGGCCTTTATTAGAGCTCTTTTTCTTCTTCTCATTCTTATTCGTATGCAGAGTGGGCAATGGCGTAGGCCTCATAAGGTCCTCATAGGAAATTCTGCGTTTTGGATCATTGCTTTTGCTAGAATGGATAGATTATTTGCATTTATAGTATATATCTGTATATATGTTCTAATCGTACTCACTTTTCTTCCATAATGGCCGTTAACTCATTTCGTATGCGATTCAATAAGTCATCGCTTATCTTCTCCTTCTCTTTATCCATATTCCTGATCAACGTAAATTTATACACAATATTTTATGAATATAATTTAATATTTTATTTCTAGTGTAAGTGGGATAGCGCAGTTTCATCAAAAACTGAAATTTAATACATTGTATTCAAGGAAACTTGTTTATTTTGTTACTTAGCAACACAAAGGTTACTAGGTTTTAATATAAATATTCCTTTGAACAGGAATACCTCTTAATTTTCTCTAATATACTTGTTAAAGATAATTTTTTGTATTTCTTTGTAGTGAAGAAATAATTTCCCTAAATTCCCATGACAAACTGCCTAGCCAAATTTCCCTTGCTGCTATTTCCGGATTAAATAACAATTAATATAATTTTATTATTATATTTTGCAGCCTCTGAACTCTCCAGACAATTGGATCGTTGGCTAGGCGCTGCCGATTTATCCCATGGACCAGCACGTGCCATAATTGCGCCGTAAGTGTCGGCGTTAATTGAATTAAGAATCTAGCTTAATGCAAATATATCTTGTATACTTTATAGACATGCCGGCTACGCCTATTGTGGTGCCTGCGGTGCATATGCCTATCGCCAAGTGAGCCCCGTTGTTGTGTAAGTGAGACACAATGCAATATGCCACTGAGCTGATGCCCTTTCTTGATTTCTGCAGTAAACGCATATTTATACTGGGACCATCGCATCACGTCCGCCTGCGCAGCTGTGCCTTATCGGTGACGAAAAAGTATAAGACGCCATTATATGATCTCAAAATTGATACGGAAGGTGGGTAAATGTAAATATAGTAAATATCATAATATCATATAAAATTTACTTTGTATATGTCATTTCAGTCAATGCCGAGCTGGAAAAGACGGGTCAATTCACCTGGATGGACATAAAGACGGACGAGGATGAGCACTCCATTGAAATGCATTTGCCTTACATAGCCAAGGTTATGGAGGAGTAAGTGCTAGCAAATAATGAATTATCACGGCAATCGAATCTCATTATCTTCTTTCTTTTGTAGCTTTAAGGATCAGTTCACTATTGTGCCTATACTGGTGGGCTCGCTGAATCCGGAGCAAGAGGCCCAGTATGGCAGCCTGTTGGCCAAATATTTTATGGACCCAACGAACCTATTTGTGATATCTTCCGATTTTTGCCATTGGGGCCAGCGCTTCAGTTACACCTACTACGATCGCTCCTGCGGCCCCATACACAAGTGCATCGAGCAGCTGGACAAGCAGGGCATGGACATCATTGAGACGCTCAGCCCAACCGCTTTTACAGAGTATTTGCGCAAATATAATAATACGATATGCGGTCGTCATCCGATTGGCGTTATGCTGGGCGCCGTTAAAGCCCTGCAGGATCAGGGCTTTAAGAATATGAGCTTTAAATTTCTGAAATATGCACAGAGTAGCCAGTGCCTGGACATGGAGGACTCCAGTGTTAGCTATGCCTCCGGTTCGCTAATCTTTGAGAATTGAACAAAATATGCTGACTAATGCAAGCAATATATGAAGTATTTCCTCTGAAAGTCAAATTTTATAAATATTTTTAGCATCTAATGGTATGAAGAATAAAGTTCAAAATTGATTTCCATTTAATTTAATCTGTTTTTATTTTTATTTTTTTGTTTGTTTTGTTTTTCGTTTTTATTTCTGAAACATTAAAATTGACATCTAAGTCATTTTGAATGATTTCATAGGGTATCCTCTTTTGTTTTTTCTTATCAATGAAATGTTTGCGTTACGGAGGATGTATGTGAAGGATCTGTGTGTGTGTGTATGTGAGTTCATGTTGTTGACATTGAAGCAACAGCTGTCATGGTCATAGCCACTCTACCACCAAGTAGCACCGACACCAGCACCACCCGCAGTTGCATCTGCTACAGCCGCATCTCCGGCAGAAGCTGCGCTTCCGTTGAGTCGAGCACACTGCTCCGCATCGCTGGCTATGTGGAGTGCGTTCATGTTTTGCACAAATGCCTCGAGTACCACGTTCTCGTCCGGACTGTAGGGCGAGGTGCGTTGGCTGTGCGGGCTGCGACGCAAGAACTCATTCAGGTCGCTCGCCACGCTGGCGGGCTTGGAGCCAGCCGCTGGCTCAAAGTCATAGCCAAACGGATCCTGCGTCGATGTCGGCGGCGGCTGTGATAAACGTGGCATCATGTTGCCTTGCACAAACAGGTGGGTGGAATCTGCAACGAATAATATTCATAAGTAATCCGAGGATTCAATTGAATCAATTTAAGGACCAACCACTGCCGTAATCGCTGGCCACATTGTCGCAGTAGCTGTTCGCCTGCGATTGCTGCTGCTGCTGCTGTTGCTGTTGCTGTTCATAGGCATTCGCTGAGCAGTTGCGATTGCCGAACACGGTTGTTATCTCCACATGATGCGGCGATGGCGATGCATTGTTGCGCGTGAAGTTGGACTCCGATATGTTGTGTATGGAGACCTATAAACAGGTAAATGTGTAAGTCAAATCTGAAAGCTGCCAAGTTGCTGTAAAGCTGTCAATATATATAATTCGAAATTTAAAATTAAATAATACACAATTTCCTTATATACATTTGTTTCCTAATAGCTCCATAAAATCGATTTGTTTATGCAATAATTCCGATTCACAACACTGATAATCGAACTTCAAATAAAAAAATAAAAAAATTTCCCAATATATTCATGGGAACAGCTGAAAGCTATATGAGTAAGCTAATAAGAAGTTTATGCTGCTAATCAGATAAATGTAAGCTATTGATTTCCAATTGGAGCTCTGAATCTAATTGAAATAAATTCCTAGACTGACTTTCGTAAGTATAACAAAAATATAAAAAAACAAATTCAATTTGATCATGTACGTTAATATAGATTAAAGTTTAAATAAATCTTTTTGGATATAGATACACTTTGCAATAAGTAATCCACAAGAACCCACATATATCAGTATAATTTCATATTAAATGCATTCAGGACGAATAAAATGAGAAATATGCGGGCGACAACTTATGGAACGGCACATGGCCCTTTCGAAACATATTCGCTTGA